GAACCGGAGACGCTTTATATAAATTAGTGCGATGATGTTTGATCGCGAAAAGGTGTAAATGTTGGGTATAAGCTCTAGGAATATGAAAATCAATCATTCGTAACATCTTCACATATAACCTTATTATTAATGATCTTATACAGGGTAGGAAAGTACCGATGGTCTATCTGAAGTTACGTGAGAGCGATAAAGTAAGCCATAGAAATCCATGCGATAGAGAAGGATGGCTATAATGAAGGCCTCTCATAGTCACCGCCCGTTTCGCCCTTCCACAAATAAGATTCACTTCTTATTTGTGGAAGGGCGAAATGGGCGTTGACTATTAGGAGCCTTCATTACAGCCATCCTTGTCTATCACATAGATTTCTATGGCTTACTTTATCGCTCTCACGTAACTTCTGATAGACCATCGGTACTTTCTTACACTGTACAAGAAAATAACAGAATTTAACTTGCGTCTTTGAGATAAGCTACTCATATTGAAACGCTTGAAAAGTGGTTCCTGAGGAAATCCTTAGGAGGAGGATCCTGACCATCAATAAAAAATGTAGCTGATTTGGCGTTGAATTTTCTCAATAGATATTATGTGTGTAGCGGATAGGTGTCCAGACTACAGAGGCATACTCAACAAATGCATTAAATAACAAACAGAAAGTATCAATTGCAAACTTTTGTAGGTATTCATTACCACAATTTCAATATGCTTGACAAAAGATAATTTAGAGTCAAAATATACGCCCAAATCTTTAACAAGGTTAGGTCGTTGGGCAAACCCATTCAGAGTATACTCGTACTGAATTTGATCACATCGTCGATTAAAAGTCATGACATTACATTTGGTAGAATTCAGAGGCAGCCTATTAGCAATGCACCAAGAGTTAATTATATCTAGATTACTTGGAGATTCATGGCATCAATTGGAGAAAATATTTTTATATCATCGGCGTATAACAACTAACGAACATTCAGCTGAGAAGTAATATCATTAATAAATAATGTAAAGAACAAGGGACCAAGAATAGAACCTTGTGGAACACCTGATGTCTGGGCAAATTCAGTAAATTTAACACCAGAAATTTGAACAAACTGAGTTCTGAAATAACGAGACTGATGCCATGAAACTTTTTATTTTAAATTTACACGTACTTAATTATTGTTCCTTTCAATATACACCCATCCTCTATCCCTACACCGCTCTATGCAAATTTTCACTTGGTCAAAATAATGCTGGAAGCCTTTCTCTGCGAGCTCCTTCATGACGCGTGCCATTTTTTCTTTCACAGGTTTAACGTTCTGAAATCTTGTTCCTTTTAATGCAGATTTGACTTTGGGGAACAGATAAAAGTCACATGGTGCCACGTCAGGCGAATAACGCGAATAGGCTAACGTTGGGATGTTATACTTGGGCTAGAAACATCTTGACAGACAATGCAGCGTGAGTCGGTGTGTTGTCCTGATGAAAAACCCATGACTTTTTTGGCACAATTCGGGTCTTTTTTCTTTTTTTCAATTTTTTTACGGAGTTTAGTAAGGACCTCGAGGTAGTAATATCTACTGTTTAGCAATTTGACCTTCAAGAACCCAGTGAAGGTACACAATCCCATGGATATCGGAAAAACAATCATCATTGGTTTGAATTTCGATTTCCTCATTCGAGCTTTTTTAGCTCTCGTGAATTTGGGCTCTTCCAACGCATACTTTGACGCTTAGTTTCTAGGTCATAAGTGAAAAACCAAGATTCATCCCATGTTATCATTTTTCCAAGAAGTTTGGGACATTTTCAATGGCAATTAAAGTGTCACTACAAATATTTTCCAGAGCTTCTTTATGTTCTTTCGGGCAAATTCTTTTAATGTCTAAATTCTTGTGTAAAATTTGCCTTACGCATTCTTTGTCAATTCCTACAGTTCCAGCAATTGGCAGTCAGATCGGATCAGATTAGCGATTATTTCAATATTTTTATCCATTTCTGACGTGGAAGGACATCTAAGGCGTGCGTCATCTTCAACGTCTTCTCGGCTATCTTGGAAACGCTTGAGCCACTCAAAAACTCGCGCACGTGATAAATATTCTTTGCCATATAATATAGTTCTTTTAATAAAAGATAAGTGTTAGTAGCGGTTTTTCCAAGTTTCATATGAAATTTCACGACAATCCGTTGAAGAACAAAAAAATAGATCTTATACAAACGAATGCTACGGCTAAACTAGTATGTCTGCAGGCACGGTAAAGGCATCAGTCGAAAAAGGAAGCTTCACGCTACACAACTGTCGGTCGTACGACTTTAGCGTATGCGTAGTTCATCGATAGCAGCATCAGTCTCGTTATTTTATAGCCACACCATTTTGACTAAATATAAAACGAATGACTTCTTTTGTTTTGAAAGTTTTGAAATCATTTGTTATACATAACAGTAGATAATTTAAACAAATATGTTAAAGTTATTACTGTATTATACTTTAACCCGATATAAATTGGTTTATGGTGCATTGAGTTGGTCGCCACAACTGCACATAAGTAGTCCAAACATGATTTTTGAAATATTTTAACTTATAAATATCACCTGTACCCTTCTAGGGAAAACTGTCATGAATTGCTGCTGTCCAGATTCGGTAAAATGTTAATGCATTATAAAAAAAAACTCAATATGTTGAAGTCTTATATAATCTTGCACACAATCATATTGGTTGATTCTATTAGTATATTGTTTAGTTCTATGTATAGAATCAACACAATCTGTTGCATTTTATAACCACGGTGTAATACCAACATAATGTTTTTGTGATATTTATGAAACTCATAACATAACAAATCTCTTACGACAATTTTGAATATAGCAATATCTAAAATATCAAAACAATACGTCTAGTTTAACTTTAATGTTTAACTTTTATTATAGTTGTCCTGCTTTTAAGTATAATGACTACAATTAAAATATATATTTTAATTGTAATCGTTTATTATTATTTGTTCTTCTTGTAACTGCAATTGTAAAATAAATCCAAATAAACGTGTTCATATTCATCTTCATCTTCATGATCTAGTGGTTGGTCCTTTAAAAGTCCCATAGCACTGCGGCCTAATTAGGCCTATTGTGCGTCCCACTACTAGTCCTATTCAGCAAGTAGATTTGTCCTTTTTACAAAGTCCAAAAGCTTCCTTGCTGACACTTCTCTCAGCTCCTTGGGTTCCAAATAGGGTCTCCCAAGGAGCGCCATTCTGCTACGTGCAAATCCCGGGCACTCGCCCAGGATATGCAGAGAAGTTTCATCCGCCGATTCACATCCTCGGCAGACCGGACTGTCTACAAGCTTTAGTCTATGTAGATGTTTC